ATCCGGATCTCCCAACCCTGCCCTGGTCCCCGCAGCCCACGGAGACGGAGCGCTGCATCGAGTCCCTGCTGGCCGTGTTCCAGCGCTACGCCGGCCGGGAGGGGGACAACTGCACCCTGTCCAAGCGGGAATTCCTGGCCTTCATGAACACCGAGCTGGCCGCCTTCACAAAGGTGAGTAATCCTGCTCAGGGAAAGCGGATCCAGCTCGCCCCGAGGAGCTGGGGGTGTCCCCGTCCCCCTGGAATCATCCGAGGTGGGATGAGGTTCGGATCCAGCTCATCCCGAGGAGCTGGGGGTGTCCCCGTCCCCCTGGAATCATCCAGGGTGGGATGAGGTTTGGAGGAGCAACCTGGTCTGGGGGAAGGTGTCCCTGCTGAGCTTTGAGGTCCCTCCCAACCCGACCCATCCCAGGATTCCAGGGGATTCCAGGAGCTCACCGGCTGCAGTTCCATACCTGGGTTTGGGGGGTCCAGCCCCGTGGCAGAGGGTCTCCATTCCCGGCTCTCCTGCAGAACCAGAAGGATCCGGGGGTCGTGGACAGGATGATGAAGAAGCTGGACCTGAACAGCGACGGGCAGCTGGACTTCCAGGAGTTCCTGAACCTCATCGGGGGCATCGCCGTGGCCTGTCACAACAGCCTGGTGGTGAAGGCCCCCGGCCCTTAGGGGGGCCCTGGGGGGCCACAACTCCCCCTCCACTGTGAACATTCCCAGGAACAACTGGAAGCACCAAGACGGAGTCATCCCCTTTCCTTCCTTCCTCCCTTTTTATGGATAAAATAAAAGGTTTAATATCCGAGTGTAAGGGTTTGTTTTTCAGCACCAGGAAAACAGCCCCAGGGGGAGCAGGATCCCAGAATCCCTGAGGTTGGAAAAGACCTCCAAGAGCATCCAGTCCCCCCTGTGCCCCATCCCCACCTTGGCACTCAGTGCCACATCCAGTCCTTCCCTGGGCACCTCCAGGGCTGGGCACTCCCCCACATCCCTGGGCAACCCCTGCCAAGGCCTGAACACCCTTTCCATGGGGAAATTCCTCCTCATGGCCAACCTGACCCTCCCCTGGCACAGCTTGAGGCCGTTTCCCCTCCTCCTGTCCCTTGTTCCCTGGGAATTCCAGAGCCAGAAGGTCCCCCCTGAGCCTCCTTTTCTCCGGGATGAGCCCCCCCAGCTCCCTCAGGACTTCTCCAGACCCTTCTCCTGCTCCAGCCCCACCTTCTGGAAACTTCTCAACCCTCCAAGCACTCCAAGGAGGGGGGGGGGAAGGTGGGAAGAGGAAATTCAGTGTCACCTCCTGCGTCTCGCTAAAACCAACTGAGCCACAGAACTGGAAGATCAAGGTGGTTTAATTACTTTATTCATGAGTGAAGCTGATTAGTTTGAGAAATGTTACCAGGACAACAAAACAAAGAGTCACCACGAGCACAAACGTTGAGCCAGTGCCATTTCCAAGGGGGGAGAACTGCCCTGGAGTTGGGATGGATCCGGTTCCCGACAGCGCCACATTCCCAGAGCCATTCCCGGCTCTTCCAAGCAATTCTCTCAGGACCTAAAGGGTGACAGAGGCAGCTGCTGCCTCTGGAGCAGCTTCCAAGGTGCTCTGTGGTAACCAGGGCTCGGCAGAGCCGCCCTTTCCCCTCTGGAAAAGATTTGCTGCAGGACAAGGGTCCAGGAAAACTGGTCTGGTCCTACTGCTTGGAAGCAGAGTCGCACTACAGCATTCCTGGGGAGGAGAGATCAAGTGGGACAGCACAGGCAAGGCTATGGGGGAGAGATGAGGCTACAGGTGGGGATGTGGGAGTGGAATTTGCCCTCCCAGCCAAGAATTCCTAACGGAACTGCAGGGGGCTGACGCGCAGCCCGATGACGTCCTTGCCGATCTCCGTCACCTGAGGGACAGAAGGAGATGATTCATGGACAAAAGCAGCTCCAAATCCCAACCCTCTGTGCAGCCCTTGGAGCCTCAGCTGCTCTGGGAGAACAGAATCCCAGCTGGGGCTGGAAGGGACCTCTGGAGATCACCCAGAGCAGGTGACACAGGGACACGTCCAGGTGGGCTTGGAATGTCCCCACACCCTCCCAGGGCAGCTGTTCCAGGGCTCTCCCACCCTCAGGCTGATCTGGAACTTCCTGTGGTTCAGTTTAAGGCCATCACTCCTCGTCCTGGGCACCACTGGGAAGAGTCTGGGACCATCTGACACCCCTTGGAGACGTTTGAATGGATGGATGAGATCCCCTCTCACAGGAGGAGTTTGTAGGGATATCTGAGATGTTTGTAAGGATGGATGAGATCCCATCTCAGATGAGAGATTTGTAGGGATATTTGAGATATTTGAATGGATGGATGAGATCCCACCTCAAATGAGAGATTTGTAGGGATATTTGAGATATTTGAATGGATGGATGAGATCCCACCTCAAATGAGAGATTTGTAGGGATATTTGAGATGTCTGTAAGGGTGGATGAGATCCCACCTCAGTGAGGGGTTTCTGGGGATATCTGAGGTATTTGTATGAATGGATGAGATCCCCTCTCAGTCTTCTCTCCTCCAGACTAACCAGGCCCAGCTCCCACAGTCCCTCCTCATCAGGGAGATGCTCCAGACCCCAAATCCCCTCTGAACACACACACAGCCCATCACCACGAGCTCATCCCCAAACTCGGGCACCGTTTCAACCTCAGGGTCCTCACAAACCCCCCAAACTCTTCTCCCTCCTCACAAACCCCCCAAACTCTTCTCTCCCACACGCCAAGACCTCTGACACGACACCACCACCCCCCAGTCAGCCCAGGAGGAGCCGTGGAAGGGAATTCCCAAGGGATGGGGGACGCCCTCACCGTGGTGACGCGGCAGATCTGCCCGTGGAACTCGGGGCAGTAGCAGGCCCCGCTCAGGGGACACTTCTCCACGGGTTTGCCACGGTAGATGGGTCTGTAGGAGGCAGCACAGATGTCAAAGGGGTTGTGCATGTCATAGTTGAGCTGGTAGGTGTCCGTGGGGTTCTTCTCACACGCCGACAGGATCTTGCGCGTCTGCGAAAAAACAGCGGCCGCGGTGAACGGAGGGGGGAAGGCACCAGGAGACCCCAAAAACGGGGTCTGTCCCACCTGGGGCTTCCACCTGAGCACCTCCCAGATGTACCTGCTGGGCCACCTCGGGCTTGGGGCCCAGCTCCAGCAGCCTCCGGGCAAAAGTGGCCGCGGTCTTGAAGTTCTTGAGCTTGAAGAAGAGGTTGAGGGCGGTTCGGAGCACCAGGATCATGTGCACGGGCTGCAGGTTGGAGTGGGTGAAGTAGGCGGCCATCTGCAGGAGGGAGCAGGGAAAACAGGGATGCAAACACTGCATGGGACAAATGGGAATAACTGGAAGTGCTGCAAGGAACCCGTCCTGGTTGGGGAAGGAGGGAAAACAGGGATACAACCACTGGCATGGGACAAACAGGGATACAACCACTGCCAGGGAAAGAGGGAAAACAGGGATCCAATCACTGCATGGGACAAACAGGGATACAACCACTGCCAGGAGTGGGGAGGACTGAAGTGCTGCAAGGAACCCGTGCCTGCCAGGGAAAGAGGGAAAGTAGGGATCCAACCACTGCATGGGACAAATGGGGATGACTGGAAGTGCTGCAAGGAACCATTCCCTGCTGGGGAAGGAGGGAAAGTAGGGATACAACCACTGCCAGCAGTGGGGAGGACTGGAAGTGCTGCAAGGAACCCGTCCCTGCCAGGGAAGGAGGGAAAACAGGGATCCAACCACTCCAGGGGACAAACAGGGATACAATCCCTGCCAGGCACGAGGATGACTGGAAGTGCTGCAAGGAACCATTCCTTTCAGGAGAAGGAGGGAAAACAGGGATACAATCCCTGCCGGGCATGGGGATAACTGGAAGTGCTGCAGGGAACCTGTCCCCCCAACACAACCCCTGCTTCAAAGGTGGAAAGGGCAGAATTCCAGACTCCTGCTCCCCTTTATAGCCCCCCTGTGAGGGCACACCCAGGCAGGGAAGGAATCCTGCACCTCACAAATCCGCTTCTGCTGCTCCAGGGTCTCCTTGGGCAGCTTCTTGCGCTCGATCTCCATGGAGAGCCCCACGATGTATTCCCGGCAAATGGCGATGAGCTGCTGGGCCTTTGGGGAGAGGGAAGGGGTCAGGAGTGGCCTCCTGGCCCACCATGGACACGGGGAGAGGGGGTGGTCTGTCCCTCACCTCGGCGATCTCCTGCTTGTTGTCCACCACCAGCAAGGGGACGCTGAGCAGGATGGAGCGGAACTTCTCCACGGCCTCCTCGAACTTGCCGGCGGTGGTGAGCTGGTAGCAGAGCTGCAGCCGCTGGATCAGGTCGTTGAGCTTCAGCCCCACGGCGGGGAGGGCGTTTTTCAGGCCGGCTTCTTTCCTGGGGACACCACAGAGAGGTTGGGGACACAAGTGGGGTCACCACGAGGCCGAGCGGGAACGCGCCGACCGCGACTCGTCCCCGGTTTTCACGGGATCACTGAGGTTGGAAAAGCCCTCCAAGGTCACCGAGTCCACCCTGTGCCCCATCCCCACCTCGGCCCCCCCAGCCCAGAGCGCTCAGTGCCACGGCCAGGCCTTCCCTGGACACCTCCAGGGAGGATTGTGCCAGAATTCCCAGCCTGCACCAATGTGGAGAGAGCTGGGAATTGTGTGTGTGGCAGAGTTGTGGAGGCAAAGATAAAACAGATCCAAAGCAGGTCACCAGTTTGCCCTGGGGAGGCCCCACCTTGGGTGCTGCGTCCAGGGCTGGGGCTCTCAGGGCAGGAGAGACATGGAGGGGCTGGAGAGTGTCCAGAGAAGGGAAAGGGGCTGGAGCAGCAGGAGAAGGGGCTGGAGAACTCCTGAGGGAGCTGGGGGGGCTCAGCCCGGAGAAAAGGAGGCTCAGGGGGGACCTTCTGGCTCTGGAATTCCCTGACAGGAGGGGGGAGCCAGGGGGGAATCGGGCTCTGCTCCCAGGGAACAAGGGACAGGAGGAGGGGGAACGGCCTCAAGCTGTGCCAGGGCAGGGTCAGGTTGGACATCAGGAGGAATTTCCCCATGGAAAGGGTGTTGAGGCCTTGGCAGGGGCTGCCCAGGGAGGTGGGGGAGTGCCCAGCCCTGGAGGTGCCCAGGGCAGGCCTGGCTGTGGCACTGAGTGCCAAGGTGGGGATGGGGCACAGGGGGGACTCTCAGAAATCTTTTCCAACCTCACCAACTCCATGATTTTTCTACAGCGGCTCCCAGGCCAGGCTGGAAAAACCAACCCGTGGCTCCCATTGCCCAGGATCTGGGAGGTCCCTGGCACAGGGGAGGGGGCACAGAGGGGCTGCCCAGTGCTCACCAGTTGCGGTGTGGGAACCCGTACATGGCGGGCAGGCTCGGCAGCGCCTGGTAGGTCGTCCTGCCCCGGGTAAAGGTCTGCAGGAACAGCTGCTTGTAGGGCCCAAAGTTGGTCACTCCCACCTGGTCATGGAGCAGCTGGAAGGGGACACATGGATGAGCTGAGGGAAAGCTGGCACAGGCACCACCGAGGCTTCACCACAGCTCGTGTCACACCCAGACAGAACCAGGCACAAAACGAGGCACAAAAGGGAACAAAACGAAGCTTCAGGTGGATCGGGGAGGAGAAAGGGCACAGTTTATCCCTAGAAAGCCCACAGGGACTTACTCTCATTGCTGTCTCAAAGGAGCCTGCCAGGATGTGGTCAACAGGCAGCTGGGAATTGTTGCACCACACCTGCAAGAAGGGAAGGGAAACACGTGGAAGAGCAATTCCATGCCCTGCCCTCAC